ATGTATCAACACTATGCTGTTTACAATTGCTTTTTTAAATAATTGAGACTTGAAAAGACCTCATCAGAAGCCAGCTTCTTTAATTGTGGGGAGAGCTTTTATCTAAAAGACTTGCAATATCTTTTACAATAGAAGCCTCTTAATTTCAGATTATTCTTTGTCCAGTGATACATTCCAAAAGGGAAACACATTTGTTTGGATATAAACAATAAAGAATGGTGTATGGAAAGTGGTATGTCCCTATGGACGTTTTCTCACAGGGATGTAATTCTGCACCAAATCTCTTAAGAATTGTGTCACCACTGTACTTGAGGAGATAACAACAATAACCATTAAACCTAACATATTGCCATCTATTGTGAGGCTGTTGTTCCTGTTTTGACCCATTATGCTCTTTCAAAACCACAGATGGTTTCTTTTCCTTCAACCTTTATTCTAATCTACTTTCTAAATATTTAAATAGGAAGCATATTGATTAAGATAACATGGGTGTCCATATGAGTCCCATTCACAATACTTCTATTTATGAAAACATACTTGTTAGCCCAACACTTTCATTTTTCTCCCACCAAGATCCATTAATTGCTTTATTCCCGCTCTCCCACTGATGTAGAAAAGTAAATACATTATCTATGCTTATTACTTGTAAAGAATCCATTAAATTATTGCCATCTACATCCCTTTTTGCAGATATTTGAGGGTTTTGCTGCAATTGTTTGTTGCTGTTGACCTTGCTCTCTTTGCAAATATTCTTTAGACAGTCAAACCTCAACTGCATTTCTCAGCAGGGATTTCTCTGTTCATTTTTATAGCTGATCTTAAATGTGAGACTCCTAACTCTTACTGTTTCTGTTGTTTCTATGGCAACTAGATAGGTGGAGACGCAGCAGCATGGCTTTGCTTCCCAGCTGGTGTTTTGTGTTCTCAGCAAGGGGAGAGTTTGAGGAAAATAGAGATGGTATTAATTGGGATGTAACTGGCTCAGAAGTGTAGTCCTTGTTCTGTTACCTCACCCTCTACTAAGGAGTTAGTGAATAATTTTAAGCAGGGCTTCTCAGACGTTCTTGAATTAAATTCTGTTCTCTTGGAAAGAGACATGATTTACTCTAAGTACGTGTGTGTCAGGTTTTGGTCTCTTAGCTGCTTGGGCCTTCATGTTTTCTTCCACCTAAAACCCCATTTTCTTCATCACATGGACAGCAGTAAGATTTGCTTCAGGAACTACACTGGTGCTTATCACTTGCATGTAGCTTGAATGTACATGAGGTATGGGGCTTTTTAATTTCTCTGATTCCCACTTTTTAATCTGATTTTTGCAGCTGTCCAGTAACTGTATTATATCAGACTGTAATTCCATAGTAAACTGTTAAGTGACTGTTTCAGAGTAAAATGTTTTGATACTTCAAATCCTACATATCCAGAGATTAGACTGACACGTTCTCCCTTCTCCAAAAAGCAGAAGTTGTTTGCATTCCCTTTAGCAGTCCTCTCACCTCACGATGGAAATGTTCATTACCTACTTTCCTGAGGATCTCCAGTGCCAAATTAATCCCTCTGAAATAACCCAAAGTCTTTCCTCTGTACCCAAGTACCTGAAGTTCTGCCTTGGTGCCTCTTGTTTAGCCAAGGCTCCGAGGAAGCAGCCCTGCTCTGTGAGGGCTGGGTTGCTCTCACCGCGACTTGTGTATCGTGAAGGCTCTGGAGAGGTGAGGGGTTTTACTTCACGGTGTTTAAGCCATTATTCTATAACACAACCACAAAGCACGTGGCCTATGTTTTAAGCTCCTCTGAAGCTGTTTCTTTTTATTAAATAAAAATTCGTGGGCACAGGAGCTGGATATCATGTGTCTCATCTCAGGAGGACGGGTCCTATGAGGTTAGTGTTATTTTCTGGCTGGTTCAGCGTACCTACAGCTGAAAGGGCTTTCCTGACCAGAACAGCTCTGATTAGCAAGAGGAACTCAGAAAGTTCTTTATTATAAGAAGCAAGTTCAGGTGTGTTCTCCTTCTGACTTCAGGAACAGATTTAAATGAAGACTTCTCACCTTGCAGGAGGCTGCCACAATGGAAGCCGTTACTGAGACCCAAGTCTGCAGATCAGTGGGGATCCTGCAGGCATCAGGATGCTCTCCGTGGAATGCCTGTCGTCTCCACATTGGTGGTGGTGCCTCAGGAGAAGCACTTGCTCTTTTGGAAATAAGACTAGGTTTTCAGTTGTTTCACACTTTATTCCTTCTCTGTTTTCTCCCTCCCCCCCTGCCCCCAGCTCTCTCAGATAGAGAGATTTACAAGAGGTAGTGGATATGTATTCTGGTAAGTTTATAAATCAGCGTTCTTCTCTGCTGGCTGCCCGAGCAGGGTTCTGATCCTCAGTGGATTAAATATTAGTACAGATTTACAATCTAAATGGAACAACATCTCTTCAAAACATTTTGGCTTAAAAACACATAAATGGACAAGTTCTTTGCTTCCATAGATTCTAACCTAGTGTATCCCCTGTATGTGTAGGGCCATTAAGTTGCTTAGGGGTTCGGGCTGTCTTTCTGAGGCTGAGGGAGCTGGGACTGTTCAGCCTCAAGAAGAGAAGGCTCAGGGAGGGATCTTACTCATGTGTATACATGCCTGATAAGCCGGAATAAAGAAAACCGAGCCAGACTCTTCTCAGTGCTACCCAGTGACAGGACAAGAGGCAATGGGCATAAATTAAATGTATGAAGAAACCTTTTTTTTTTACTGTGAGCGTGGTCAAACACTGCAAAAAGGTTTTGCAGAGAGGCTGTGGAGTCTCCATCCCTGGAGATGCTTAAAACCCAACTGGACTCAGGCCTGAGCAATCTGCTGTAGTTGACCGTGCTTTGAGCAGGAAGATTGGACTTGATGATCTCGAGGTCCTTTCCAACCTGAACTATTCTGTGAATATTGTGGTTTATGTCAGCAGATAAAATAATACTTTTTTTCTATGAAGAAATTGCTGCTTGAACAATCTTGTAATGTTACAGGTGAAATCTTATGAGATGTTTTGTTTTGAGAATTCTGTTGTATCTGCTTAGACTTTAAATTTTATCTTAGTACATCTCCTGGTGTTATACAGTTTATCCCTTACAAAATAATTCTTCTATAGAGAAAAACTAACCTAGAAATCAGTGCAGTAACTACATTTTTATCAGCTCTGTTCACGTGACAAATAAACGCATTTTATAATGCCTAAAATCCAATCCTGAATGTAAAGGTCTGTTGAAGTGTTTTTGATTCATACTCAACTCTCGATCAAGGTTGCTAGGTAGGATTTTAGGGAAGAATTCCAACAAGGAAACTGAAATTTTGCTGTCTCGGTTGGGACAATTTTAGCTATGTGGTTTCTAATAGAGGTAAAGTGTAGTGCAAACTTGCATGCTTCCCTTGCTGCCTGGCCTCTGAATATGCAGAATGGGATTGTTCTGTTCTCCAGAATATTCAGTTCAGGGTAATATCTAAATGTAAAACCAGAGTTTGACCAGTTGCCTTGAAGTGTTGATTTAATTGTCATTTAATATTAGCAAAGAGCCAAGCATCATCTTTATCCTTCCTAGATTTGTTAGTGAGTGTTTACTCAAGATTAATTAAAATGCCTATTGCATTTTCCAAGGAAGGAGTGCATATTCTCTCTTGAAGGGATCCAAAAACATGTTGGGGAATGAGAAGTCAGGGAAGGTGTTGAGAATTATCCTGAGATTAAAAAAGGAGGAGTAAAAGAGGCAATGGCCTCTGGAGCAGGGTTGGAAGGAGAGGCTGTGGCTGGAGCCAGGGAAGAAGCAATGTCTAGCACTGGAGGTGAGGTGGGAAGGGAGAACAGCTTCCTGCGGGGAAGGAGAAAGAATAGGTGAAGTAGTGCTTTTTTTTGTTTGGTTGGTTGGTTTGTTTTTTTCAAAAAAGCTAAGGATTTGCAATTTTGAGCCAAACTAGAAACCCTAGTTTGAGAGTTTCATTTTGGGTAGATAGTGGCAAGTGTTAGGAACTGAGAAATTAAATGAGATTCTGATGTTGGCTTTCTGGACATCTCTTTCAGATTCTTGAACAAATCCTGCTTGAGCAGACCTCTTCAGGCATTAGGGATTTCAAATATAATTAATATTTGGATGTTCGAAAAATTCTGCTTTGAATCTTTGTTATGCATCTCTTCATTCAAATCACAATGTTTTCAATCTTGTTTACTTTTTTACAGCTGTTAACACAATAGGGGAAAAGCTTCCAAGGAATGACTATTGATGTCTGAGGGAACCTAGATCCTAACTGCAGAACAATTGCCGTGATGTCATGTGCAGATTTTATATGGTGTTCACAAGTGGCTGGTTACGAACAACTGCAGATTGCATAAAATGCCTATAAAGGTTTTGTTCTGCTTGTAAAGCTGCTGTCTACACTGTCAAAAGCTAGTGGATGTAGCTGTCTGTATAGTCCTGTTTTAAGTCAATTCGTATAGCATGAAATCAACTTACTTTGTGGGAAAAAATGCTTTTGCCAATGTGATTTTTATCATTCATACACTGAAAACAAGCACAGCTCTAAAAATGTAGTTATATATGATGATAACAAAAGCAACTCTTATCTATGCATTTGCTTACCAAGATTTGGCATCATTTGCATTAAGTTATACTACCAAAAGTAGTTCTTGCCAGATTACTGATGTGTAGCATAAATGTTAGCCTGGTATAAAATTTTCTTGTAGAAGAAAATCTCGCTAATGGATGTGATCATTCTGGTAAAAATGGAAATGCAAATTTAATTAAAGATTGCATTTCTTACTGTGAAATGTCAAAGTACTTTACTATTTTTCTAATTGTGAAATTGGTAACTAGAGATAAACACTAAATGTCAGCAAAACATAAAGGTATGGTAATTTTAGACTTGTAAGGATATTTATAGAAAAGTTTTCATTATAAATGTACATATTTTTATTATTCTTGAAGATAATCATCAAAGGTCAATTTGGCCAATTAAATATTCTGCTTTTTGTTTTCCAGAAACCAGCAAACATTCTGGTAATGGGTGAAGGTCCCGAAAGAGGAAGAGTCAAAATAGGTAAACATTTCGAGAAAATTTCATTGTACAGCTAAGGAAAACTTAAAAAATTGCATCTTCAGTGTAAGATAGAAACAAATCTTCATTATTCTTTGAGTGTATGTATGCACAACATCTAGTTCAATTTTAAATCTCATTCACTGAGTTTACAAGCTTATAGAGATTCCAAGCGTATTATTAGACATCTATAAAGCTTGCCAAGGATAACTGGTGAGAGAAAAGCATCTGTAAGTAACAAGAAAGTAATAAGCACGTAGAACAATGGCTATGGCCAAGGTTCTTCTGACTTCTACTATGATTAGTTAGCATAACATTGTTACTTATAAATTGTATTTGGTTTTAATTATTTTTATATAAATAACATCAATGCACATGTTGGTAGAGGTCCGAAGGTTTGCTATGCAAAAGGCTATTCGGCATCAAGGTGGGAAACACATGTAACTGTGGTGGTCTTTATCCAAAATCTAATTACCTGTGCAGATCATAAGCCTTAGTCATGTGGATATAAACTTTTTTAATAAAGTATGTGGCAATCCGTAAGAAAGAAGGAATATATTGGAACCTCTTTTCTATTCATCGACTTCTGTTGTATTTGAAAACGTTCAGCTTGTATTAGTATGGGTAACTGCAAGAAAATTATACTTGGTATTTCATAACTTTGGAAGCAGAAAGATTTAGGTGAAGTTGTGTAAAATATAAGTTTCACACTTGGATTAAAATGTGTGGTTTTGAATATATACCTGAATTTTGTACTTTCCTGTCTAGCATTTCTTAATGCTCCTTACAAGGTTGTTTCTAGAGAGAATTTTCTACTTATATAAAATGAACATTCGCATTTAAAATACACCTCTGTAACAGTGTACACTCACTGATTTAATGAATTCCCATTTAAAAACTTTTTCCTGATTCTGGAGTCATTCCTCCAAAACAAGTAGGAGGCATACTTTGAAGAATAGTGCAAAACAGTCTACACTGCAGTTGTTTTGGTTTTGCACTTTGGGTAAATACGTAGCAGTCACAAGGGCTCACAGTTTTGTAAAGATATATAAAAATAAAAGAGAAAATGTACATTAGAGACCTACTACTATTGACTTCAGTTAACCAGGTTTCTGTTACAGTCCTATTTAAATAAACAGGCATCTGTGTTATGTAAAGTTTTACAATACCATCATGAAAACACTTAAAAGTCAAACGTCGTCCTTCATAGTCTTATAAATGAAGTAAATGGAATTTAGCCTTAGATAAATTTGGCCCAATATTGTTGCAAGTAACTTGTTGCTTTCTTAGAAACTTTGATTTGTAAGTTTTAATGTTTTTGAGCTTTTGTTTTAATTGCTTTTTGGCAATACTGTTAAATTCTGATTTATTTGTATTAAAATTTTAAATGGTCTTTTCTCCCCCCCCAGCTGATATGGGTTTTGCAAGATTGTTCAACTCACCTTTGAAGCCATTGGCAGACTTGGATCCAGTTGTGGTGACATTCTGGTACAGAGCTCCGGAGCTGTTACTTGGAGCCAGACATTACACAAAGGCCATTGGTAAGTTCTATGTAAGAAAGAGGTTTACCTTTAAGTTTTGTAAAGGAGGGTAGCCTTACGGTAGTTATGATGATCAGCTGATCAGCTAGTTTTTTTTCCTGAAGTAGCAGCAGATGGGGTATGATCCAATCCATACAAGATTAATCCAGATTGAAACTTTGAGAACTGTGCTTTTATTTTTCAATATGAGTTAAGGTGAATGTTAGACATTTTAAATGTGTTGTTTGTTTTTAAAATAAAAATATTCTTTGCATTGGTTTATATGGTTTTCTGATATGGGCTCCAAAATCTTGTAATGTTGTAAACCTTCAAAAGGGAAAGAGCTATGGCTGTTAAAGTGGTGTTCTTCTAGGGTGCTTCATGTCCAAATGCTTCTATGTAGTGTGTGCCTTGATAAAGAGAAGGGCGGTCTCCTGTGTTGTGTGCAATCTGCAGATTATTCACTCCTGACAATTTACGAAGCTCCATGTTCAGGAAATGCTGGTGGCCAGGCTCTTGTCTTCCTTCCCCCTTACTAAGTTCCATAAGCACAATCAGCCTCGGTGCCTAGCTGTTCAGAGAATAAAAACACTGAGGTGCACAGGAGGTATCCTGTCTGCATGATTAGGTTATATACTGAAGAGAACTGCAGAGACAATGGTGTTTCTCTGTAACGGGGTTAAATTGTTCCTATGTGTACAGAGGTGGCTTTCTTGGGAGTTGCAGGCATTTTCCTGTTATAGAAGTTTTCGGAGATGCTATGCGGGCCTTTGTTCAGAGAGTTACAAACCACCATGCTATACTAGCATCTCTGTTGAATGTTCAGTTGGGTGGACCAATACTTTTAATTAAGTCTCACAGTCTGGCTTTTCCAGATAACTCCTCTATTTATCAAAATATCATATACAGCAAAAAGTTTAAAAAATGAATGAACTGTCACCTGACTTTGATGTAGACTTGGACTTCATGTTTCTTTGTTGTTCTTCTCTCACATTTGGAATCCTCCGGTGCAGGAGGACCTGAATTGAGAAAAACACTGCTTTGTTTGTTGATCTTGCCTAGAATGTGCAGCAACTGTTAAGAAGGGCAAAAAGACTTCTGCATAGCTCTAGTGAGAATATATACATTCAGTCTTGCAGGCAGGTAGCATGCATTTCTATCCTTGGACAAAATTTGTCAGCATCAAAAAGCCAAAAAGTAGGGGGTTTATATGCTAGTGCTCCTTTTCATCTGCTGAAATGGAAAAATGTAAGTCTTCAGATGACAATGTCTACATTAGCAAGTAGCGTGGCACAATAGAAGTGCATATGTAAAGCAAAATGGTGCTGAGTACCTAGCATCCACATTATACATGGTTTTGATGAAGATGAATACTTTGAGCTTTCTCTGGCCTGGTCCCACAGACTACTGCTCATTAGCAGCTGATGCACACCTTTTGGTTTAATTTCATCCCAAATTAATTTGTTTTATGTACTCTGAGATAACTCTGCAGCTCAAGCTGAGAAGTGTCATAGGTATGGGCAATCTGATCCATTTCAAAAGCAAACACCTGGTCCAAAGTAAAATACTAATTGCAGATAGATTCAATCAGGTTGAAAGGGACCTTAGGAGGTCTCTCATCCATCCTCCTGTTCAAAGCAGGGTCCACTCTGAATTCAGACCAGGCTGCTGAGGGATTTGTCCAGCCAGGTCGGTCTTGAAAACTGCTTAGAACAAAGATTCCACACCCTCTCTGAATGACCTGTTCCAGTGCTAAATCATCTTCGTAGTGAAGAATTTTTTTCCTTATACCTAGTAAGAACTTTTTGTTTCAGTTTATGCCTGTAATCTCTCATTCTCCTGTCGTATACCACTGTAAAGAGCCTGGCTCCATCATCTTGGTCACCTCTCCATAGGTACTGGGGGAGGTTGCTCGTAAGTTCCTCTTCAATCTGAACAAGCCTGTGTCCCTCAGCCTCCTCTCCCAGAGCAGGTTCTCCAGCCTCTGACCATCCTGGTGGCTCTCCACTGAACTTGCTCCAAGTTATCAAACTCTGTCTTGTATTCAGGTCCCCCAAGTGACCCAAATGTGCTCCAACAAGTGCTAAGTAAAGGGGAGTAATCACTTCTCTCAGTCTACTGACTGTGCTCCTGTTGATACAGCCAATATATCCTACTGATGCTGTTGGTCTTTATCACTACCAGGGTCTACTGCTGGCTCAGGTTTCACCTGATATCCACTGGAAACCCCACATCCTTTTCTGCAGGGGTGTTCCCCAGCCAGTCGATCCCCCACCTGAAC